ACACTTGCTTTGGTTATATGCAGAGTCCATATTGAATCTTATATTGCCAGGTCAACCTTATATGTGATTTTTCCAAGACATTCTTTTAGAGCAGAGGACACACTGGGAAGTTATTTCCCAATGTCTCCTTCTGAGTATGATTCTACATACTGTTAGTCAATGAGGGAAGTTCACAAATTTTACAAGTTCAAAAATAGTAAAAGTCTACTGGTCTCCAGACGTCTCTATAGTCAGGTTGGTGACTTATGCGACATCCATAGTAAGCTATCTTTCTTTCTTTTTTTCTTTTTTTGAACCGGGAATCAAACTCAGGCTCTTGTGCTTGCCACGCAAGGTCCATATCCTGCTGCTGAGCTATATTCCTGGCCCAATAGTAAGCATTCAACTAAATGTTTAAGAGCTATCTCTTTTCTATAAAGAATAATGGTCAGTATTCACGTAGAAGTTTCTGAAGTTACATGCTATTTCCTAATAAATTGTCCTATAAATACCTCTTTAGGGAGGTAAATTAATGAATCAATTTGAATGTTTTTTAATTGGCAAATAACACCTCTTCCCAGAAACTGTTTTTTTTTTTTTCTGTCCCAGCACAATACTGGAAGGATTATAGACTCATGCAGAATAGGTAGGTCACCATTTAGAAATATTATGAAGGGAGAAGAGCCCTGTTGTAAACTAGGGAATTAAGCAGTGTATATCTAGCTAGTGTTTGAAATTGCACATCTATTCATCACTGAGATCTATAACACTGAGTGGCATTAGTCTTTTACTTACAAGGCAGAAAAAAGGTGATGTTCTTTTGGAGATATTTAGTAATACAGGATTGAATACTATGGACCAGCTGGATAAACCTAAAATACAATACATTATCAGACAATCACTTGGAATTCACACAGACCTTCAAAAACAATTTCCGTCCTCACATTTAAATACCTGCCATTGAAGAAAATTAGTCACCCAGAAATGAGACCAAACGAAGTAAGTGAAGAAGGGGAACTTAAAAGATATCACTGCAGGACAATGGGATCTTCAGAGATGCAAGAACTTACATGACTTGTGTGAGATGAGAAGAAGAGGGCCTGAGAAAAACATACACAGTAAAAAAGAGAACTTTTGGATTTTTTATTTTTATCAGATATAAATTATTCTAAGTACCTTGAAAATAAATATATCACATTATAGAAGAACACAAAAAGATTTAAAGAATGTTTAAAACAATAGACTCTTTGAGGGGTTTAATATATGAAAACTAAAATTTTCAACATCAATAAACAGAAAATAGAATATAGTACTTTCAAAATTACACAAGAATATTTAAAATTAGTCTATCTAATATTAAGTAAAAATATAATCTGGTACCCACTAAGAAAATGAGATGACAAAAGGAAATAAAAGTTGTGCTAATTGAGATTGAGTTATAAAATCATCTTTTTTTATAGATGACTTAAACACTTATATAGAAAATCCAATATAATCAACCACCACAAGAACAACAAAATCCCTCCTGGAACTAATAAATAATGTTATTAAGTTCATAGAATAAAAAATTGATATACAAAAGTGAATCATTTTCTTATACAGCAGCAACAATAATTTGAAGTTTGAAATTAAAAACACAAAGCTGGCTTCCTCCACTATCTCTGGGACAGTAGAATTTGCAAGAGGAGAGTATATGTGCACTCTGCACTTACTCCATTATCTTGGGGACAGCAGGGCCTGTGAGAAGAGTGTGAGTCTGCACTCCGTGCTTACTCCATTATCTCCGGGACAGGAGGGCTGTGAAAGAAGTGTAAGGAAACACGCCTTTGGTGGGTGGACCAACCAATACCCGGAGACCTGGCACCCAGGACAACAGCCAGGCCCCAAGTGCATGGGCCACACACGCCTTTAGGAGGCAGAGTAATTAGCAAGAAAAGCAACGTGGAAGTGTCTGAAGCAGCAGCAAGAAGTCAGCAGTTTGACTCCAGAGAACTCCACCAACAGAAGATCAATTGAACCCCCAAATCCAAAGGCCAAGACCAGCTCCATACTCAGCACATTTCTGGGATTAAATATGGACACTATCACAGAACTGTAAACACCAGAGGTATTTTACTACCTTCATTCTCCCTTGTTTGTCTGATTGGTTATTCCTTTCTTGTCTTGGGTTGGATGTCATCTTGTTTGGTTTTATATTCTGTAATTATTTTTGTGATTTTTCTTCTGTTTTTTCCTCTCCACTTTTTCTCCAGCCTTCTATTTCTTTCTTTCTTTTTTTTTCTTTTCTTTTTTGTTCTCTTTCTCTTTCTTGCTTCTTTTTTCAATGTTTAGGTTTCTTACTTTTCCTTCCTGTTTTCTTGTATAGATCTTGTTTCTCTTTTTCCTTAATTATGTCTTGAATTTAAATTTTCAAGTGAGTAGACACTGTCTCTGCCCTTTCTGACTACTTCTCCATATTCTATTTGATTTGTTCCCTCCTGTGTCCTCCAATTTCTTCCAATTTCTTGGGTGATTATCCTTTAATCTCCAGCCTTGACTCTACTATATTTGACCTCCTTCATCACTTTAGCCTATCCCCTACCCATCTTAAGCCCTGCCCCTTCCAGAGAGGTAAAATCACCCCAATAAAGGGAAATTACTGCATACAAGTGCACAATATATGTTTGATTTTATTATATAATTGTAGAGTTTGTTCCTGTGGTCAGAGGTAACAGGTTAATGGTTATCATAGTTTGTTAGTAATTAAGCAGTAATTGAAACTATTGTTATTACTAATTGTTCTACTTTAACCAGGATGTCATACATGTTATAAACAGTTTTTCTCCCTTGTGTGACAACACTGTGATTGTATGAGGTCATAAGCATCACCACAGCCCAGTACCCAAAGATTAGGAGCTGAGCCAAAAAGTAATTTTGAACCCTTTACAAATTGGGAAAGTAGGTCTTAGAATAGCTATAGGAAACCTCCCACATCTAGAAGACATCCCTGAAGAACAGACAGCCTCAAAGGAAACCTCAATACTATTGGTAGGTTTTCTGGGTCAATTATTTTCTATAAAAAACACACAAGAGAAGATACTTACTATCTTTCCTCCTAGACCTTTTTGGGGAAGTTCAACAAAGTGCCACAAACCTTACATGATATGATTTGTTTGCTGTGATGTGTCAGGAGACCCTGCTGTTAAGCAACTCATGTTTTCTTCTTCTATATGTTCCTAGTGTGGTACTTTCATCCAGAAAACATAAGGCAGGGCTTCTTCTTGAGGCAGCATGAAAAGCACAAGAAAGCATTATTTTTCTGCCAAATACTTTTAGAAATGAAAAACAGTATATGCAACTCTAATATTTTATTTGGATATGAGAATTGTAAAAGAGGCAGAAAGTCATTTTAACACAATAGCTCCCACAATGATCTCTGTCCCTTCACCGAGACTTCTCAGTCTTTATTACACTGAGATTAACTTTTGACGTCACAGGAGGAAAATAATGTGTTCTTAATAAAGAAATGATTGTTAGTAAAAATGAGCAAGTTATTTGTTTCTTGAGAACAATACCCCAAAATTATATTTTTTACAAATTATTTTAATCACTTCCATTGGAAATACGGAGTTTTTCTCATCATGCTTATTCTTCACATTGTTAACAACTGAATCATAAATAGCAAATGAAGTGAATATAACCTGTGATGTTTATGGAGATGACAGTGTATCCTGTACTGTGTCTACCTGAATGATTACTGTCATACAGCCTAAAAATTAACAAACATCGATGAAATTTGGTTGTATAGTGGTTACCATTAGCTTTGATTTTTATGCATTGAAACGAAGTGATGTAACTGAAAGTAATATGATATCTCTAAAGATATATGAAAAAATGAAAACAAAATTGCACAAAAACATTCATTATTGTTGTTGTTTTACAACGTATGCCTCTTGAGACAAAACTGTATAATTAAGCCACAGAGCAGACATAATCCCTATGGTATACAGTGGGAATAAAAGTACAGTGTATTCTACCATTATGCTATAATTTGGAATTGTTAGAAGCCTAAAAAGCCCAAGGAAGAAAAAAAAGGTCAACTTATTGTTCTAGGTGTGTTCCTCAATTCTTACATTCTTGTAAAATGCATTAGGTTAATGAAAGAAGATACAGTTAGTTTTGATTTCCTTGGATCTTAGTTGCCTGAACATTTGCTTTTTTTGGGGGGGGGGGGCAGGATCTCACTATGTAGTACAGAGGAGCTTTTTTTTTTTTGGTTTTTCTCCGGTACCAGGAATCGAACTCACAACCTTGTGCTTGCCAGGGAGGAGCTTTGCCGCTGAAGCTAAATCCCGAGCCCCCAGAGGAGCTTTGAACCCATGCTTATTCTCCTGCCTCAGCCTCCCAAGTGCTGGGATTACAGGCATGTGCTACCACAGTGGGCAGATAATTAGCTTTTTATTCAAATAAAAATGGGTAAAATCATATATGTACGTTTTGTGAATGGAAATGTATTCTCTTTCAAGCCCTTAAAAGAAAGCTGTACAGTTAAGATGATCAAGATATAACATCTTCATGTTTTACTTTATACACTCAGGTTTTATTGATTCTTCACAATTATATCTTCATATGACACTTCCATACAGTATATGGACAAAATTACAATATTTATAAAATGAAAATTTAAAAACCATTATATGAAATTAAAGAAATTGTATTCTATATTTCTGTGAAAATAATATAACTTCTTCATTCAAAATAAGGACAGAGGGGCTGGGGATTTAGCTCAGTGGCACAGCGCCTGCCTGGCGAGTGCAAGGTCATGAGTTCGATTTCTGGTACCAGAAAAAAAACAAAATACCAAAAAAAAAAAAAAACCATAAAGACAGAATATGCATCAGTTATACTTGGGTAATGATTTAGAAAGATGCAACAAAGGAATCCAGCTGTTCAGGTTGTCATGTCAGACTGACATTTGATACACTGCTGTGTTAAAGACTTGAATTCCCAGGTGCTACCTACCTTCTCTGTTGTGTTCACAGATGTCTGGCTCTGAGCACACTTTGGATGGAAACCAGTCTCTTTGCACTACAATAACATTTGTGGCTTTTTCTTCTCTGGCAGAGTTACAAATTGTACTCTTTGTTTTGTTCTTAATCATGTACTTATTTAGTGTGGGAGGAAACCTCATCATCATCTGTCTGATCTGGGTCACCCCTTCCCTGCACACTCCCATGTATTTCTTCCTGGTGAACCTCTCCTTTTTGGAGATGTGCTACATCACCAGTGTGGTGCCTCAGATGCTGGTGCACCTGCTGGTGGAGAACAAGACCATAACCCTGGGGGCCTGTGCAGCCCAGATGTATGCATTTTCAGTTTTGGGATTGACGGAATGCTGCCTGCTAGCCACAATGGCTTATGACCGATTTGTTGCTATTTGTCTCCCACTGCATTATACTGTCCTGATGAGTCTTCCTGTCTGTTTGAAATTAGCTGCAGCATCTTGGATCACTGGGCTGGTCATGGAGGCAGCTCAGATCAGCTGGATCTTCAGTCTCCCCTTCCGTGGAACAGGAAAGATTGAGCACTTCTTTTGTGACATCATGCCTATAGTGACACTGTCTTGTATTGATACTTCTGAATACGAGATGGTGTTTTTTTTTTTCTTTCTTTGACCTTTATTATGAGTCCTTGTCTCCTCATTCTGCGCCCCTATGTGCGCATCCTGGTGACCATCTTCAGCATCCCTTCAGCAGCTGGCCGGCATAAAGCTTTCTCCACGTGTTCCTCTCACATCCTGGTCGTTTCTCTGTTCTGTGGCACATCTTTGTTCACTTATCTCCAACCCAAGAATTCACACACTCCTGACACAGACAAGGCCACGGCACTCATGTACACAGTGGTCACACCTGCTCTGAATCCTGTCATCTATACTTTGAGAAACAAAGAAGTAAAGGAAGCCTTTTATAAGGTAACACACAAGAACTCTCTTAAACAAATGGACTAATCTAACTCTAGTCACTGAAAATTTTACTCCTGTACAGAACGGTTACTCAGGACCTTTATGACCTCTCACAGTATATATTGTTACTGACACTTTTATAGTCTAAGAAACAGAGGACACAGGTTTCTTCCCTCTTTTCATTGCATTAAGACAAAGGGAACTATGTGATAGGATGATTCAAATGTTTAATTATTCATTGACTCAATTATGTTTCCCGAATCTCCTATGTAGTAACTATCATATTTTTCTCCTCTAATAGAAATATTATGAAGGTCAGTATGTTTCTTACAGTTTTTTGAGTATAATAAAATATTTTTTGAGTAGAGAAACAAGAAAAATGAAAAAAAAGTAATGTTTTTACCTTGAAAACATTATACGCTTGGAGCAAATATAGGCTTGGAATATTTAAATTTTTAAGTGGATTCTACTTAATTATTATTTTCCATACATTTTAATAATTACACACCTGCAGTAATTAGTAGTTTGATGATTTAGAGAACTTTCTTTGTGATTTTAATTTTTATTACATCTATTGTGAACACTCCTTAGGTGCATTGGTTTAGATAGAATTATTAGGCATTGTCTGTATATTTCAGATCGTTAGAAATATTACTTTTATTCATTGACTAATAAAGAAAAAGACTTCCATAAGACATATACTCAGCAACTTTCAAACAATGTTTTCATAACTTTAGAGAAGTGTAAGACATAGAATATAATCATGCAGTGACATTTGATAAAAATCAGGTTTTTTTTGTTATTTTAATGTTTATACTTGACAGACAAACCTCAATGAAAGTGCAATTAATTTCACTGGAAGGGATTCAGCAGTGAGAAAATGCTATAGGCAAATGGATAAAATCAAGAAGTAGTCAGTTTTGATAATGAGTGTCAGAAACAGCCACCTAATTTAACCTTGGAGAAATCATGTAAAACACATTCTGAAAATGTATTGTCTCTAGGTTTAGGTAACTGGAGAATATACACATCTATTTTCATGAAGCATTGCAGAAACCTTAATCAGACAGTGTAATCCAGATACCACTGCTCTGCTGCTGATTCTTGCTGGCATCTAGAAATGGAAGATTGATTGCATTTTGGCAGCTATAAAACATGTGGTATTGAATCTTGACTAATAAATAAGGTTGAAGGGATTTAGGAAGTCACAATGACAGTAAAATGTACAAATTTTCTTTACAGAACTCATGTTGTATACTTATATTTGTTATATTAAGTGAGGGTGAAATGTTGGTGTGTATGATAAAATTTGTGTTGAGTATAGTGTCAACAACCACCATACCTACCTGATTTTTTCTCCTTTCTTTTTTGCCCCTGTGTGGGAAGTAGTAGAGTAATTCTGAAAGGACAGAGATAGAGCTGTACATCGCACATATATTTCACAGGAGAAAAGAAAAATGGTATATAGTACTATCTTATTAAGGTTCCATTTTCTATTCAACTATTTCTGAAATATTATCTTTGTTAGAGTAAACATCACAAATACAAATGTAGCATTTTAAAATATTTTCTTTATAATAAACATAAATGAGATTTCAAGATTCCTGCATGAAATTCTGTTCAAAGGATGCTTCACCTTTTAATATGGTTTAAAATGACCCAATAATTGATGGAGCAATTATTTTTGGGTAATATTTATGGGCTGTGGTGATTAAATGCTTCAAGTAATGTTAACAGTATACACACAGGTATTGAATAGCCCCACAAAATAATATTTGGTTTGACTTTGTTATTATGGAGAAGCTTTGATAAAGATCAATGTAATTTAAATTGTGTTGAGATATTCACTTGCTCTCTGAAATTGAGTTTTCATTAAGAGTTTATTGTATTTCCAGCAATCATGGGTCTACTTCCCCCTATAATTTGTGCTTCTACATATTCTATATTTTTATACTAAAAAATTAATGAATTAAAATATTATTCAGAAATGAGCTAAGTCTTCTAGCTATAGATATAATACATATTTTAGATCTTAAATCCCAAAAATCAGTTTTTGTTATTTTATTGTTTATTTAATTATAATCTCTCATGCAAATTTCCCCAATATTCTTATCATCAGTTTTCAACAAAGTCAAATAATAAATTACTTTAAGTGAATGGAAGCTGAAGAAACTAAATTAAATAATTAGATGGACTCTACACTCCAGAATATCATTAAATTGATACCCTTATCATCATTTACTGGGTACAGAAAAGATTATAAAATTTCACCTGTGTGTAAGCCTACATATATTTCCCAGCCTATGATACTATTATAAAACATTTTCTCTTTTCTCATTTTTAAATTGTGTAGATTATTTTGCTCATACTCCTGCTTTCTTATATTTTGAATGCAGAGAGCATTGCTTTATTAAAATTATTCAAGTCAAATCACCATTCAGGCCCTAAGCCTCAGGACAGTGAGAGTCAGAAATGAGAGGGTTAATAAAATAACAACCAGAGAGCATCTATCTGGAGATTTTAATCTCAGAGAGTGAACATCACTGTAATAAAACCTGCAAAAATATACTCACTGGTGGTTGAACAACATGAATATGTGCTCTTTCCTATTGGGAAGAAGAGAGCAATTCAGTTGTGCATGAGGTTGTCCTATTTCTAAGGTGAGGGAACTGTGGAACTACCAAAGGCTTTTCGGGGACTCCCTTTATCTTAGCATGGCATTTTTTTTCTCTAAAGCTGTCTCTTTCTGACTCTCTGATACATAATCAGTGAAACACACACACACACACACACACACACACACACACATATGCACTGGGCCAACAATTGCCATTCATCATACGCTGTCTGATGTCATATAGTTTTACTTTTGTTTAAAATACTTTCTACTTTGCAAAAGCTGTTAGGGAAGTTGCTGATTACTTACTAAACTACTGAGAAACCCATGCTTTTGGCAAAAGTAATGTTTTTAAATATTCTCAATCTCCAATGCCTGGGGGATTCTAGAATTATGATCAAAACTCAGTAACAGAAGAAAAAGAGAATTTTCCAAACACATGTCACATTTTCTTACTTTGACTTCAAAGCAATTTCTTCACAGCTTAACAGTTTAAAGATAATTGCCTCACATATGATAGGCAAATCATCACTGCTCATTGGTTCCTAAGGATATATGGAAATTCCAAAAAAAGCAAAATTAAAGATAGTCTATTAGAAGACACATGGAAAAGAAAAGTATGTTTAGATATGGAGCTCAAGTAATACATTTAGACAACAATGAGTTGTTTTCCTAATGTATGCTAAGTGCCTGAAAATTGTCCAGCACTCATCTCTGATAATTTTTTGGGGGGTGGTGCCAGGAATCAAACTCAGGACTTCATGCTTGCCAGGGAGGTGCTATGCCACTAAGCTATATCCCTGGCTAATCTCTAATTTTATGTACCACAAATACCTAGTAGACATTACCTCTGCAAACTACCAAAATGGTAAATTTGATGTTGTATTTCATGAAACTATTGTTTTAAGGATGTGACAGTTGTACAGTGGACTTTATCACTTATTTAACAAATTCAGATGGGGACAAATTCAGATGCTGAAGGGAGAAAATATTGTAAATGGTGGTTACCATAGGCCCAGGAGAATACGAAAGAGAGGTAAGTGGGGAGAGGATGATCAAACTGTATGTAGTACATTATAGTTTGATAACACAGTAGGGCAACAATAATGTAACATTTTTTACAAAGGTAGGAAAGACAATTTTGAATGCTTTTGCTATCAAGAAATGATAAATAGTTGAGATAAATATGTTTAATGTGATTTAATCTGTGAATGTATATGTATCAAACATCACACTGTACCCCCAAATATATAATTTTTATCTCTTTTGGTCTTCTAGCTCTGACCAGAATTTCCTACACAGAATAACCTAAGGTGTTCCAGCACTTCTCTTTCAGAGGCATATCCAAACGTCCAACAAGGCATTTTGAAATGCTCTTAAACCACATATTCAGGTAGAGTCACAGCAAAGACCCCACTCCTGCTACCAAATTCTGTGTTAGTTATTTTTCTCTCATTGCTGAGATGAAATACCTGACACCCAGAATTAAGGAAAGAAAGGTTTATTTAACTCACAATTTGTGGAGATTATAGTCCATACTCGGCTGGCTCCATGGCAGAGGGTAACAATTCATGGCTGCAGGAGATAGCAAAAGTGTCAAGAGCACAAGAGGGGCAAGCAGCAGAGAATAAGCCTCTTTCCCACACTTACACTGTATGTGATCTACCCACCCCCGTGCAAGTGTAGTACTCACATCTATAATCTAAGCATTGGATCATGAATCAATAGTAAACTCTAGAAGCCCACCCGGTGACTGCCTGAGGCGGTGGGGAGACATCCAGACAAAAATCATAATAATGCCCTCTAACCACTTCTGAGAAAAAGTTAAGATATAAGTGTATTTGGGACTGGGTGTATAGCTTGGTGTTAGATCTAGTGTATTCAAAGCCCTCGATTATATCCCCAGAACTTCCCTTCCCCCACCATCCAAAGAAGACAGAAAACATATTTGATCTGTCTTCATTCACATTGGTTCCAAATAAATAACCATGCACCATTACACCATTTTGAAGAAAACATTTGTAATGTTGGACAAAAAAGTAAAAATAGATGCATTCCTTTTTTTTTTTTTTTTTTTTGGTACTGGCAATTGAACTCAGGACCTTATGCTTGCCAGTCAGGTGCTTATGCTGCTGAGCTATATCTCCAGCCCTAGATGCATTCCTGAATCATGTATTCTTTTTTTTTTTTTTTTTTGTTTTTTTTTTTCCAGTACCAGGAATCAAACTCACAACCTTGCACTTGCCAGGCAGGCGCTGTGCTGCTGAGCTAAATCCCCAGCCCCTGAATCATGTATTCTTTTCAAAAATTTTAAATAGAATATTTATATGATCTCAAAAATATTGTCATGTAAATCCCTTGTCTGCATTATCTGTTCCTAAGTAAGTATTCTTCACACACTGTACAGGTGGAAAAATAGATACAATAC